ACTAGGAGACGTGAGCAAACATTCCAGGTGATGACAATGTTACATATCTTGTTTTGGGTGGTGATTTCATAGGTGCTACAGTCGTCAAACCGCATTGAATTTGGTTGTATGTCAGCAGATCCATATGTGTGTGTATATAGACTTCGGGTTTCTGCTCGGACAGGTAGACAGCTTGGAAGTTGCTGCTTCTGTCCTAACAATGAGAAAATGCAGAACACACTGAAAAGCAAGGGAAGCCCCATTGCAGGTCACAGGGCAAACCACTGTCCCCAAACTGGAGAGATGGATGATCAGAGAGAAGCTTGCACGGTGAGCAGAAGCTGTGCAGCCTGAGAACAGGCACAGAGCGGTTGTTGGACACTCAGCCTGGGCGGGGGAGCGTCCCAGTCTCCTGGGGTGCCAGTCTTGGGGATGCTTGCACTTTGATGGGTTTTCCCTCCAGGAGCTCCACCAGGCTGTCAGGGAGAAGATCTGAGAAACAACCCTTCAGGCTTCAGGCAGAAGGAGGAGAAATAACCCATGAGAAACGTACCCAGAGCTTTCTGTTCTCTGTCACAGAAGCCTGCCTTCAAGGAAAACCACGTTACCAGACCCAAGGAAGGACCGGCAGACCACTCAGCCCCCTCCAGCCTTCCTCTCAGCCCAGGGACCAAAGCCCACCAAAACACGGAGATTTGCTCATGGGATATGAGAGCCCTTCCCCAGCCTCATCCACAGGGTTCGGGCATATTAACACTGGATCACAGCTGGGAGGACTCTGCACGTGCATTCTATTTGAGGAAGAGCTTCTAGGGAAACCAAAGGCAACAGGAGAGGCACAACCAGGACACCAGAGAAGTATGAAGCCTCACAAACAGTGGACACAGCCCAAGGCCAGCCAGGTAAACATAAATCCTCACTCGAAACACCTATTTACCTCCTGTTAGCTGGTACATCGTGTCCACTTTCCTCCAAACTATCACAAAGCACGCTAAAAGGCAATAAAGGCAGTCGGAAGTGACAAAGCAAGCAATAAAGCCAGACCCAGACATGGCAGAGACTGGGAACTGTCACACTGAGACCTTAAAATAGCTATGATCACATGCTCAGGCCGCTCATGGAAAAAGTGAACGCCATGCAGGAACAGATGGGTAATGTCATTTCTTTTCATGCTTGGTAACTTTTTACCTTATTGCACATTGTGGCAAAATACACGTAACGTGAACTTTACCATTTTAGCCATTTTCTGTGTCCAGTTCAGCAGTGTAAAATGCATTCACCTTGCTGTAAGCCTCTCTCCAGAACTGCTTTCCTCTTACAAAACTGAAGCTCTGTCCAGATTAAACAACCCCTCCCCCAGCCCCTGGCACCCAGCTTTCTACTTTCTGTCTCTATGAATTTGACACCTCTAGGGACCTCATGCGAGCAGAATCATATAGAATTTGTCCTTTTGTGTCTATGCCTGGTGGTTTTAAATTGGATGCCAGACCTGGTGTACACCGTGTGCTTGGTGGCTGGATTTTGCTATGTGAGTTGAAAGAGTTTGAGGCTGTATGCTGGCATTCCGTTAAGTAATTTGGAATCCCTCAGATCCTTCTGAGGCTTGCTTACAAACTTTCTTAGGGTGGGTCCGGAGAAGCCGTTACTCTACGGCTAATTCCACTCCAATGCGAAGATGACAGGACTTTGCCAGTGCAGGGTCTTAGGAGGTTTCTCCGATCGACCGGCAGAACATGACATATTCCCAGCCTTGTGTGAGCTCCAGGAATCCATCTGCCTGCTCCCCTCAGATGGATCTCATCCCTGACCTCCTTCCTGACGTTGATGCTTTCCTCCCAGGCATTCGGAGGACGCCACTGGACCCCTCTGTGGGTTTCTGCAACCCGCTGTGCCCAAGGACCTCCTCCCTGGAGTTCTGGCTGCCTTCGCCTTCCCACCCTGCGCTGGGGCCTCGAAGCTGCCTCCAGGGGGGCTGTGGTCATTGTACATCTCTCCTCATCCTTATCCTTCTCTCAGGGACAGCCCCGTGCTGCCTCTCATGTTTGTCAGAAAT